AGTAACGCCAGCGCCGGGGACGCCGTGGCCCCAAGTGAGGACATGGTGGCGGCCCTAGTGGTGGTGGTGGTGGCGGGGACGGTTGTTCGGACGAGGGGGTTGGAGCTGGTGCCCAGGAGCAGCAGCAGTCGCCGCAGTCGCAGCCGCAGCCGCAGCCGTCGCAGCCTCCCGCCAGGGTGGCCAGAAGCCCCAGGAGGTGGTGGTCGCGGTGGTGGCCCTCGCAGCTCGGCGTCCACCGTCGGCTTAGGTTCTGTGAGCTGCCAGTACCAGCTCCAGACCGGGCCCCTCCGCGGCACGGTGTGCTGCCGCCCGCACCCCACCGCTCGCTGGTTCCACCCTCGACCACCTTTTCCTGTCGTGGCTCGCAGCTACACTTCCCTTCCCTGTCCGGCGGTTCCCATGGGTTCCCTTACAGGCCTGCATATCCTTTCCTTCTCCAGGAACTTAGTTGGTGTGGGCTGTCTTCAGGACCTCGGCGTCACCACTACGTTCCCTGGTCAAGAGCGGTACGCGGTCTGTACCGCGACTGCCTCAGGTGCCCACCTTGCGACATTCCCTTGGGATGCTGTGTCTGGCCTTTTTAAGCTGGATACTGCGCCCCCCCCAGCGGGCGAGTCCTCCTCCGATTCTGCGTCCACCCAGGTTGCTGCAGCCTGCTCATGTCGGTCGCTCACTCAACTGTCGCTTTTGTGACACTACCGCCCAGGTCACCCCGCACTCCCGCGTTTGCGTCACATGTCTCAGCACAGTCTTGTCCTAGGCCTTCCTGCGTCGCTCCCTGCTCTCCCTCCTTCGCCGACACCGCCGTGCACGCCCTGCGTCGAGGGCCAGCTGCGCCGTGCTCCTCACTCCTCCTCGCTTCGCCCTGCCACTGCACCCCTCCAGACCCTACACTTGGACGTCTTGGGCCCGGCCCCGGCCCCTGGACCGCGTTGCGAGCGCTACTTTCTTGTGCTTGTTGACAACTACACGCGCTACACCACGGTGTTTCCCCTGGAGCGGAAGGTCGACGTGCCCGACGTTCTCATCCCGTGGCTTGTAGTTGCGCGTCTGCACCGCGATCTCCCTGTGCTGTGTCTGCTCACTGCTCGCACTATCCCCTGTGTCTTCCTCGGTTTCCCCCTTGACTCGTCTGACCGCACTTCTACCACCCGCCGTCTCACCACATCTTTCTCTCCCGTGACGCCACTTTCGACGAGTCTGTCTTCTTTTACCACCGCTTTCCTCACCGAGGTCTCCCAGTTTCCCCCCCATTGTTTCTGGTTTCCACTCCCCCGGTCGCCCCTACTTCCCTCCCTCCCCAACCTGCTCCGTGCGGTGTGTCTCACGTCACTCCCCTCCCGTCGGTTGTCCCAATCGAGGAGTCGACTGACTCTGGTGGCCCAGCGGTGCAATTTCCGCCGCCTGTCCCTCCCCCGGTGTCTCCTCCTTCCTCGTCGCAGTCGCCGCCGTAGCCGCCACCGCCGCAGCCACAGCAGCCGCAACCGTCGCCGCAGCCGCGGCCGTTCGTGGACTCTAGGGGTGCTGGAGTTGAGGACGGTGCTAGTCCTGGGGCTCCTGTCGTGGCTTGTCCTGGCGGGCTCGGGGATGGCACCGACCCTGGAGAGGGTTCTCACTCTGGGGGTGCTGGCATGGAATGTACCGGCAGTAGCACTGGTGCAGCTGGTGGTCCAGGTGTCGGCGTCGAGTAGCAGCAGCAGTCGCCGCCGATGTCCGCCCTCCGCCTGCTCGACCTTCCCTTCCCTGACCGCTCGCCTACGCCTCACTCGCCGTCCCCTCCTCTTCTTTTCCACGGTCCTTTGTTTGCTCCGCCGGACTCGTCCCCGGCTCGTTTCGCCCCTCGTTCCCCTCCTGTTACTCCTCCTCTTTCTCCTTAACCGACGCCTCCGTCTCACGTCTGGTCTCGCCGTCCCTCTTGTGCTCGTCCTGTCTCTCCTGTTCAGCATTCTCACCCTATGTTGCTTCATTCCCACGCGTCTCATCCTCCCCTTCTACCTTCACCTCCTCCGTTGTCGCTCGATGTCGCGCCTCCTCCACTGTCTGACTACTTTCGTGCTGCTCGTCCTCTAGTTCCTCGGGTCCTTGCCTCCCTCGTTACCGACCCGTCAGTTCCTGTCTCAAGTCTTGACGCTCCTGTCGCTGCTGTCGCTGCCTTTGCCTCTACCGGCCGCCTTGACTACGCCACGGCTCTGGTCTCTGACCCTGTTTATCCTCCGTCCGTCGGGGGTGCTCCTGCCCTTGGCAGTGGCGTCCTAGAGGACAGACAGTACGAGCTTGCTTTCCTGTCTGAGGCTGCTCCCCATCTCTGTTCCATGCTGCTAGTCCCTTAGGGTGACCCCGACGCCTTTGACACCCCGACCCCTCGCACTTACGCTGAGGCGACCTCGGGACCCAGGGCCTCTCAGTGGATAGCTGCCATAGAGCAGGAGATGGCATCTTGGAGGGCTACCGGCACTTACGTCGACGCAGTTCCCCCACCTGGGGTGAACGTAGTCGATGGCCGGTGGCTCTTCACGGTGAAGCGCCCCGCCTGTATTCAAGGCGCGCTACGTGGCTAGAGGCTTTAGTCAGCGAGAGAGGGTGGACTTCTTCCAGACCTTCGCCTCGACCCCGATGATGAGTACTCTTCGGGCGCTCCTACACGTAGCAGTACTGCGTGACTACGAGCTCCACTCCCTTGACTTCTCCACTGCTTTTCTTCAGGGCAGCTTATACGAGCAGGTCTACCTGCGCTGTCCTCAGGGCTTCACCGGTACCTTCCCTCCTGGGACCCAGTGGCTCCTTCGGCTCCCGGTCTACGGCCAGCGACAGGCGCCACGTGAGTGGCACGACACGTTGCGTGCTACGCTAGCTTAATTGCAGTTCTTTCCCTCATCTGCAGACCCTTTGCTCTTCGTTCATGCTGGCCAGACTCCGTTCTACATCCTTGTCTACGTAGAAGACATGGTCTTCGCCACTGCAGACAGAGACGCGCTGGCCTCCGTGAAGGCTGGGCTTCTGAGGAGACACACCTTCACTGACCTGGGAGAGCTGCACTGCTACCTTGGCCTGCAGATCTCCAGGGACAGAGCAGCGCGCACCATCACTCTTATACAGTCACATTTGGTGCGTCGGGTCCTTTAGAGGTTCGGTCTTCAGCTCTCTTCCGCACATCCCACACTTTTGCCAGTAGACCACAGGCTCTCGGCTCTAGTTACAGAGGAGTCAACAGAGCCCAGTGGTCCTTACGCAGAGTTGGTGGGTTGTCTCATGTACCTGATGACTTGTACTCGTCCAGATCTCGCATACCCTCTCAGCATCCTGGCTCGCTTTGTGGCCACAGGCAGACACCGACCACAGCACTAGTCAAACGCTAAGAGGGTTTTGCGTTATCTTGCGAGTACATCGGGCATGGGGCTAGTGCTGGGAGGACGCGGGCCAGCGATCCTTACTGGACACACAGACGCTTCTTGGACAGATGACGCTGAGACCCTCAGGTCCTCCCATGGGTACTGCTGCCTTGGTTCTGGTGCCATCTCGTGGAGGTCCACTCGCTCCTCGTCTGTTGCCCAGTCTAGCAGTGAGGCTGAGATCTACGCCGGTGCCATGGCGGCACAAGAGCTCCGCTAGCTGACCTTCTTGCTCTCTGACTTAGGTGAGCGGCCTAGCTCTGCCCCGGTTCTGTACGCTGACAATAGGGCCATGATCTTCCTGTGCCAGGAGCCTCGACTTGAGGGCAGAGCGATGCACATCCAGCTGCGGTACTTCCTCCTGCGCGAGCTCCAACAGCGTCGCCAGGCCCGCATAGTACACTTGGCCTTCGGTGCCAACACAACTGATATATTTACTAAGGCGCTTCCGCCTAAAGATCATCAGCGACACTGCTTACAGTTAGGTCTAGTCCCTGTAGACTCTCACTTGCTAGGACCTTGATTATGTACTCTTCTATATTTATGTCTTCCAGACTGGCCTTGTGGCTTTTCTTCCAGTGGCCGGACTAGTAGTTCCGCCCTGGTTTGCTCTTGTCTTGTTTGTACTCTTGCTGAATGATCTTTAGACCCCTGCCTCAGAGGTTGGACTAGTAGTGCCTCCTTGAGCTGCGTGTTTCTTGCTTTGCACTGCCCCTTATCTAGCCTTGGGGGTGTGTCAACTTATACATATCTTTATATGTATAATTTATAGGCTAGATAGGATTAGTTCTTAGAGAGTACTTCCCAGCCCTATATCTTCCTTGTACTCTGTTGTTTCAATTTACTTCTAGTGTTAACATGTTTATTAAGTTATGATATTACTCATCAGAGGAGATAATTATATAATCTAAGAGAATTCCGTCAAAATGTTATACCTTATCTAATTATCTTATACCTGGTTGGGGGAGCAAGGGGGGCATGATTTCCTAAAACGAGGGGAAGCGTTTAGTATTTCTCCTTGTCCTTTTTGAAAGAGTATTGCAGCCATTTGAAACGTGTATACATTGGTTACGAAAGTTGTATTCATCGAAGTCTCCTTCCATGTCAGCAGGCATTCCTATGGCTCAGCCAAGTCAACGCCATCCCTGACACTTGCCAGCAGGGACCAGGAAAGTAATCGCCCGCCGTGATTCGCGAAGTCGTTAGCCAGTCACGGCGTAACAAGGCAGCGTAGAGCGTCCAGCCAATCCGCTCCACATTCTCTCTGCCCCTCTTCGCCAGCCTTGAACGACTCGGCGGAAACGCACGAACCTAGTGTGCGATGGAAGTTGTACACCCAGCATACCACATCAAGACTGAAGAGAATCACGCGAAATTGCTGCGCGAAACGGATTTGTCTTCCGTGGCATCGCACAGCGGAATTTGCGACGCAGCGCTGCTCCATTGGATTTCCTTGCATTGCTGTCAGAAAGACGACTTCCCCTTCCCGCAACAACACATGTTCCTCTCCTCCTCCCTCCCCCTCCCTGTCTCTGCCCCCTTCCCCTCGTATGCCTGTCATCTGGCGCCCAGCCCTATATCAGTGAATCCATCAGATTCAACTCACCGAGTAGTAGCCCTGGAAGTAGGAGTTAGTAAGCGAGCTTCACGCTCTGATTCCCAGTACTTGGCGATTTTCTCACTTTGAAGCTCCAGCGCAGCTCTCCAGGAAGCGGTTCCTCGTTTCGGGCTTTGTATCAGGGTGTCGTTCTTATTAGAATTACTTTCCCGCGCCCATAGCTCCGCCGGCGAAGCCTCACCAGCGCCAATGGCGGCGAGAAAACCGTCCCTGTTTCTTCTCACGCTCTTCCTCCCGCTCCTTCTTTTCCCGCTCGCTGCCGTCCGCGCGTTCTCCTTCGACTGCGAGAATGAGCACCAGCAGTACGTCTCCGTTTTAAGCTTCTGTAACGACGAAGGATCTCGATATACGTGTCTCTTCGGCGGCGGATACGCTACCGACGGCTCGGGGGAGTGCACGCTCGTTCAGCCCGGCGCGCTTTACTGCGAGGATTGCCAGGGGAACCTACACCCGCTTCCGCGATGCTGCGAAATAGACCTCTCGGGTTACACGCTAAGCACTGGCGAGCAGTCCAACACGGATGTTACCGAGTTCGGAATTGAACAGCTGAACTGCCCTGCAAATACCGGGTGTAGCGATTCTGGTTACCTCCAGTGCAACGAAGGTGAGTTTGATGGGGTTACCCCGTATTACCGGAACCCTAACGCCTTTTGGCAGTTCTACTGCGCGGACTCCAGTAGCGGAGTGCAGCTGCGCGAATTGGAGCGCCCGCAGGGCTTTCCCCCGGCGGGGGAAGAATCCGCCGCTGAGGCGGAAGACATTTCCGCGGAGAACCCCTCTGATGCCCCCGACGGTGCGCAGGCGGGCGGAGTGACCAAGATGCGTCGCCGCTTGTGGGGGAGCGGGCGCCCCTGGTCTCCCCCCAAAATGTACAGCCGCCGCCTGTGGGGGAGCGGGCGCCCCTGGTCTCCCCCCAAGATGTACCGCCGCCGCTTGTGGGGGAGCGGGCGCCCCTGGTCTCCCCCCAAGATGTACCGCCGCCGCTTGTGGGGGAGCGGCCGCCCCTGGTCTCCCCCCAAGATGTACCGCCGCCGCTTGTGGGGGAGCGGCCGCCCCTGGTCTCCCCCCAAGATGTACCGCCGCCGCTTGTGGGGGAGCGGGCGTCCCTGGTCTCCCCCCAAGATGTACAGCCGCCGCCTGTATGGAAGCGGGAGGCAGTGGTACCCGTAGTCGACGAGCAGTGGTGAAGTGCGGCAGGAAACTAAACAAGCTAGAAGCGAAGCAACGACGTTAAGGAATGGGTGACGTGAGAAGCAGTCAGAGATGATCGTGCGGTGCAAAATAAGGGGGATGGGTGGGTAGCGAGGTTTCGGGTTTCGTGCCGCAGGGCGGATTGGGGTGTGGTTCGTGATGGTGCGAGCTGGTTTGGGTGATGTGAGGAGATATTTGAACATTTTGGGAATGTTGTGTGTTTGGTGTAGATTGTATGTGCTACAAGAGATGCTTGTAGTCACTTTCCCTCATTCGGCTAATGTTGAGATTTTGATATTGTTTGGATAAATATATTGCTCGATCTCAACATCTGTACATCAACCGGGGAAAGGCCAACCTTGTAAATCAGCATAGTATGTAGGTGTGCGAGAACTAAACATGGTGTGTACCATGATATCTCTAGGGGATATGAAACGGTTCATCAATGCATCTGGGTTTGGTATTCTATAACTTACATTGTGTGTGAATTTTCAATTGCATAGTATGCCTTTCTATTCACTCAAATTCGCAGACTCGTCAGAAATTTCCAGCATCATGCCATGTCGCGTTTGACAAACGGCTTGTTTTCGTGCTGCCCCCCGACCGAGCCAGCCGTCGGCCCATCTGGCTCCAGTTGCAGGCCACGCCGAACCAATTTCTTCCCCGCTGAACCTCAGCCGCCAAACCAACGAGCGGAAGTCAAATTTCTGACCAATGGCAACATGAGTCTAAGCTTTCCCGCCAAATCCAACGGACATCAAATGTCCCATCTCGCGGAACTTCGAGAAACACCAGCGCAATTGCGCAAACCACTTTGCCAAATTTCCGATGCGCAACGCGCCATTCCCCCGTATTTTTTCGTCCCCGTGCGCCCCACGGAAATTGCACCCATCAATCACATGTGCGCACACCCCAGCATGCCAGAAATGTTTTCATACCCCCCTCCATTTTGATGCGATACTGTAATTGGACGGAAGGCCTGTAATCTTCAACTTGACGGAAGGCTCGATTCAAAGGGTCGGGAGTGGAGGAGAATATAACGGACCCAAACGGAGCAAGATTCCCGTTCCGTTGGAGTTGCTTCCGTCTCCGTCACTCGGGCAGCAGCAGTACGCGCCACGTGATCAGCAGCCATCCCCCCTTCTCTCGACCCGCAAGGAAACGGCATTCCCGAGTTCCAACCCAATCCCAAGGTGCAATACTCTTCTCTTCTCCCCCCCTCCCCCCCACCCCCCCCCCCCCAGAATCTCTCCCCTCCCCACTCTCGAGATTGCCTGCTTGAGACATCCCTCGAGATTAGGCACCTCCTGGAGATTAGCTGACCAAGCACCATCACCGCCCAATGATTCACAACTGTTGGCGGACTTGGAGCAAGGATTGCGGAATCGATTGCCTCTGAGAGCTTCTGTTATCATGGCTAGACATTGATGCTGCATTTCTAGTTCCCAAAGGTTTCTGGATGAGTCATCCAGGAATTCGGGTTGTGTGGATAGGCTTCTCTAGTTAAAATTGCGCGCCAGGAATTGAATTCCGCTATCTCAGGCGTAGATAACAGCTCTTTCGACCAGCCATTCATCACAGGCAAGCGTCGTACCGAAGTAGATTTGCCGTGAAATTCAGTTTACGGTAGGCATTCACTGCTGTGAGTCGCTTCTTCTAGTCTAGTGAAATCTCCGTCAAAATGGCGCGAAAAGTTTCGCAAGTAGCCGGCATTCTAGACATCCATATCATACAGGCCGAGGGGCTTCGCGAGCTATGCGACTATGGACCCCAGGACGTGTACGCGAGAGTGCTGTGCGGCGAACGCGACGACATTGGGCGAGTGGCTCTGACCACGAAAACCATCAAGTCTGGCGGGAACAACCCCATCTTCAACCAGCGACTGCAGGTCAGTAGCAGTGTCCAACTAGCGACTGCTCTTCAGTAGCAGTAGCAGTGTCCAACTAGCGACTGCTCTTCAGTAGCAGTAGCAGTGTCTTGGGTGACCATTACGCGTGAGGTGGGTGAACGTTACGGCATTAGCCGAAGGACTGCGCGCGCTATGCGACTACGGACCCCAAGACGTGTACGCGAGAGTGCTGTGCGGCGAACGCGACGACATTGGGCGAGTGGCTCTGACCACGAAAACCACCAAGTCCGGCTGAAACAACCCGATCTTCAACCAGCGACTCCCGGTTTATGTACATCCCAAGCTGTATATGTGCCACTTAAGTCTGGTCCGGCCCCTTCGAGACGTGGGATTTGATATGGACTTTTACTTGTAGCATTCCCGAGCTAAAGCGCCGTCCGTCAACACCAATTATCCACCCTCCTCGTCCTCACGTGCACTACCTTTTTTCCTGTTTGCGCACCGTGTCTCGCTTTCAGAATCACAATTTTCGACATGCTCTCTCTTCGCGTGCTTCCTCTCCATCCCGCGTCTTCAGTTGCAATTCGAACGTACCACCCCTCCTGACGTCCTTTTCCCTTCAGGTCGGCGCGCCCGAGCGCGAGGCGGATGTCAAGTGCGGGATTGGATGGCCAGCCACCATCGCGATTGGCGCGTCTCAATGCGCCAATCGCGATGGTGGCTGGCCATCCAGTCGCGATTGACCCCCTGACGTGTCTTTTCCGCCTCTCATCTGTGTTTCCTCCCCGCGCATTCGTCTTTCTCCCTCCAGGTGGGCGTGCCGGAGCGCGAGACGGACGTGAAGTGCGAGACATGGATGGCCAGCCACCATCGCTTATCGGGGTGCCTCCTACCACAGCTCCCCTCTCGTTCCTTTCGTCCGTCCCATCACGTTGCTTCCCCCCCACATGTTTCTCTCCCTCCAGGTGGGCGTGCCCGAGCGCGAGACGGACGTGAAGTGCGAGATATGGATGGCCAGCCACCATCGCGATTTGGCGCGTCTCAATACACTGACCCCCTCACGCTTCTTTCCTCCTCCCACGTTGTTTTCCTCCCCTCACACCCTTCTTTTCCCTTCAGGTCGGGGTTCCCGAGCGCGAGACGGACGTGAAGTGCGAGATATGGATGGCCAGCCACCATCGCGATTTGCGACGCCCAAGAGCACAGCCCCCCTCACGTTTCTTTTCCTCCTCGCACGTTGTTTTCCTCCCCGCGCGCTCTTCTTTTCCCCTTCAGGTGGGCGAGCCCGAGCGCGAGACGGACGTGTGAAGTGCTAGGTTTGGATGGCCGACCACCATCGCGTTTTGCCGCGTCTCAGCACACTGCCCCGCTGATGTTCCTTTCCTTCCTTCCTTCCCATGAGAACCCGCGTGATAGGAGTCTAGTTTTGAGGCGCCTCAAAACTGATGTTCCTTCCTTCCTTCCCCATGAAAATCCCTTTCCCTTCAGGTGGGCGTGCCGGAGCGCGAGACGGAGGTGAAGTGCGAGATTTGGATGGCCAGCCACCATCGCGGCACGACGGACGATCAGCTGCTTGGCTTCATCCAGATTCCCATCAGGTGAGCTTTGGTGCCACTGTGTGTGAGTCAACGCAAACGAATCGCATCAACACATGATTCGATTCACCCCATGAAACGAATCGACTCTTACCACAAGCACACGACCTCGCCTTCTTTCCTCTCCTCTCGTCCACCGTCTTCTGCCTTGCGCGTGACGTCATACCAGGACGTCATGGACAAAGGCCTCTCTGCTTATCATAATCTCACAAACCCCACAAAAGCTCGTTATGTACTGATCAATTTTCTTTCCCCCGTCTTGTGCCTTGTGCCTGAAGCCTCGCGGGGGCATCATGGACAAACGCCTCGCTTATCATTATCTCACAAACCTCTCAAAGAAACATTATTTACTTTATTATCTATTCTCTTTCCCTCCATCTTGTGCCTTGTGTCTGACGCCTCGCAAAGGCATCAGGGGCATCATGGACAGAGACAAAGGTGAAGCGTGCTCTTGATACTGCTTCACCCAGGTTCTCATTCTTTTTTTTTTTCCCTTATCCTCATTTGCTCCTCTTATTCTCTCTTTTTTAAATGTGTGCCGTTAGCCTGACGCCTCGCAGGGGCATCATGGACAGAGGCTAAGGTGAAGCATTCTACTTCCCTTTTTTCTCTCTCTTATCCTCTCCTTTTCTGTCTTGTGCCTTGTGCCTGACGCCTCGCAGGGAAGCCGGAGGCGAAGGTGAAGCGTGCTCTGGACACTGCTTCACCCAAGTCCATTCCCGTTACTCCATCCTCTTATTCTCTCCTTTTCCGTCTTGTGCCGTGTGCCTCGTGTCTGACGCCTCGCAGGGGCATCATGGACAGAGGCAAAGGTGAAGCGTGCTCTTGATACTGCTTCACCCAGATTCTCATTCTTTTTTTCCCCTCTTCCGTCTTGTGCCGTGTGCCTCGTCTCTGACGCCTCGCAGGGACATCATGGACAGAGGCAAAGCCGGCGATCAGGAATTTTACCTGAGGGCCTTCGACGAAGTTGGTAACCTCTTCGCCAGCTCCGCGAAAGTTCGCATCTCCCTCTCGTACCACCCGCGACCAGGAAGCGGCAGCAGCAGCGCAACCCCCCCTGGCGGAAGCACCCCCGCCTCTAAGCCACGGGGAACGCCCTCCAGCGCAAAGGGGAACATCCTTGGGCGCGCGCTCACCGCCGCGTTCTCGCGCATTTCCGCGGAGAAGGCCGCGGAGAGGGCGGCGGAAAAGGGGGCGGAAAAGGGCAGCGGCGGCGGCAGCGGCGGCGGAATCTCAGGCACACCCGCAGGAACCCCCATCCGCGCGCATTCGCTCTCCCGCATCCACCCGGAGACTTTCAGCAGCAGCGGCGGAGGGGGAATGCCAGGGGGAACCCCTTCCGGAACACCTGCGCGCATCCCCAGAGGGGAGGTGGGGGGGGGTTCCGCAGGGGGAATGACACCACTGGGCACTCCAGGGGGGATTCTGCACGGTGCTGCGGCTACTCTGGTAACTACACCTGGAGAAACACCTGGGAGGGCGCCTGGAGGAGCGCTAGCGAGCTTACGACTCGCTAGTTTGACGTTCACTCCTGGGAGCCAAACGCGGGAGCCCATGTCCTCCCAGGTCCCCAGCTCGCTGCAGCGGTCGCGGCCCATGTCGCCACGGTCGCCGGCGTCGCCCAGGTCGCCCATGTCCGAGGTGCGCGACGGCCTGCGACACGGGCTGGACCTGGTGCAGGCGCTTCGCGAAGTTACCGAAGGCGGCGGGGGCAAATTCGCGAGCGCCAGTAACAAGAAGCGAAAGTCGAAATCGGGGCCGTTGAGCGTGAACCATCCGTATATGATGGAGGTGGTGGATCTACAGCGCAAGCACAAGTATAAGGCGAAATCCGGCCCGTTATTCGATAACGGAGACGGCTATGACGGGGATGGCGGGGGCTCCGGAACCTGCAGCCCGTACAGCGCCCGCCGCCCCGCGTCGTCGTCCCCCCCGCGGCACGTGCGCAAGATGATCCTCCCCCACCGCTCCGCCACTCCGCCCATGTCCTTCCGCGAAGCTCCGCAGCCCCCCCACTCCGGGGGGGGATTCATCCTCGGTAGAAGCGCCCCGCTAAACCCAGAAGCGCTGGATTTGTGGGAAGGGAGAGAACCCCCGCCAGGGGTATTTACGTCGCGATCCGGGCCGCTTAGACTACAGGGAAATTTCTCGGGGTATAGACCGACGTCCGGGCCTCTACCCACCACGACGTCTTTATTAAAGATGGAGTCTCTAGATACTCCGCCGACTCTTCCGCCTCCGCCGTCGCTGCGCGCAATGCGGAGGGGAGGGGTAGCGGGGAGCGGGCTGTTCTCGCATTCGATCGTTAGCGGGAGTGCTCATAGCGGGGTTGCATTGAGCGGGGGTGGCTTTAGCGCGGGAGCGGGGAGCAGTGGAGGCGGGGGGAGCATGCAGGAGACGAACAGCTCGGGTGGCTGCCACGTGGGATCCACGGGCGATGACGTGTCATCTGGTACGGCAGGCTCGGGCATGGCGGGTTCGGGCATGGCAGGCTCGGGGATCACAGGCTCGGGAAGGATGCTTCGGCGGCAGGGGTCTGGCGGCCGGCAAGGGCTGGGGTCGCAGCAAGGGTTTGGCCGGCAAGCAAGGGGTAGCGGAGGGACGGGGGGAAGCGGCGGTACGGGGGAACCAGGAGGCCCGATGGCGGGCGGTTTTGGCAGCTTCGCTGGCGGGTTTGGGGCGGGCGGATTTGGAAGCTTCTCCAGCCTGGCTTCTAACGGGTCAGTTAAGGCCCCGCTACAGTCACAAGGCAGCTTCAGTGCTTCTAACGGTGCGCTTAAAGGCGCGAGTTTTTCCGCCAGTATTGGACTGCCCAGGGGCTTGGAGCGCAGGGGGAGCGGGGGGAGCGGGGGGAGCATACAGGACGAGGGGGGGGAGAGGCGGAAGGGGTGGCGGAAGGGGCGGGGGAAGGGGCGGACGGGGAGGCAGTGGGAGCAGTGGGAGCGGCAGGAAGGTATATGGGAGCCGAAGAGGTAGAGGGGGGAGTCTATGCGGCAGGGGGAAGCTTAGAGGCGGAGAATGACGTGGAGGGGGTGGGGAATGACGTGGCACTGTTTCTGCCTGAGGGGCGAACCTTCGAGGAAATGCTGATGGAGGAGAAAGACATGGGGTTAGAGCATGGGATCGCTGTTGCTGCTGACCAAGACATGGGGTTGGGTGGGACCCACATGCTCATGGAAAATGGCATGGGGCTGGGAAACGGAGGCATGGGGATGGAAAATGGAGGCATGGGGCTGGGAAGCGAGGGCATGGGGTTGGGAAACGAGGGCATGGGGTTGGGAAACGAGGGCATGGGGCTGGGAAGCGAGGGCATGGGGTTAGAGAACCATATGCTTATGGACGCAGCTGGGGCGCTGGATGTTTTCCCCCTGCCCATGCCGGAAGGGTTTGATACCATGGGGTGGGACGAGATGGAGGTGACAGGGGCGGGGGATGTATTGGCGGGGGGAGGAGGAGTGGCGGAAGGAGGGGGGGCGTGGGGGGTCATGGTCAATCAATCTGTCCCTCAGCAGCAGCAGCAGCAGCAGCAGCAGCAAATTCAGTACCACCAGCACGAGCATCAGCAAATCCAGTACCGGCACCAGCAGCTACAGAGTGTGCAACAACAGCATCACGAGAACCAGCAGCAACAGCAGCAGAACCAGCACCAGTTTCAGCAGCAGCTGCAGCAGCAACAGCAGCAGAAGCAGCAGCAGTATCAGCAGCAGCAGCAGCAGAGCCCTGGTCCCAACCAGCCCACCATCTCCATACAAGCACATGCTCCTCTAGGTGCTCTTGTGCATGCGCCATCCCATGCCCACATGCATGCCCCACCTGAAATACCACCTGAACCAACACCTGCAGGTGCCGTTTCGCATCCGCTTGTCGCAGCATCCTCGTCCTCCACCCTCTCCTGCGGATACAACCCACTCAAGAAATCGCCGGGACGGAACAATGCCCATGCATCAGGCTCACATACGCCCGTGGCAGCAAGGCTCTCAGCCGAGCAGAAGCTGTGGCAGCGGCGGCAGCAGCAGGCGGCAGGAGGGGCAGGTGGCAGGCAAAGGAAGCACGGGGGAGGTGAGATGCTACCTCTGATTGACACGGGCATGATCAACGAGGGGGGGATGTGTGGAGGGGGAGGAGGAGGAGGAGGGGATGATAGAGGGGTTGTGTGTGGGAGTGGTGACATGGGAGGGGCGGCAGTTGGTGCGGAGATGGGTCAGGAGCAGTATGAGCCACAGCAGCAACAGCAGCAGCAACAGCAGCAGCAACCACAGCAACAGCAGCAGCAACCACAGCAGCAGCAGCAGCAGCATTATCAACCTCACCAGCAGTCCCCACAGCAGCAGCAGCAGCAGCAGCAGCAGCAGATGAGCCCCCAGCAGCAGTGGAATCAGGAACAGGTGCCACCGCCACCTCAGACCGGCTGGCCACGTCAGCCACCCATTGCCAGGCAGCAGATCTTCCTGGTAAGCTGTGCTGCCCATTTGGCACGTGCAGCTCTGTCCCCCTGGACTAGCCCTTTCTCTGCCTCTCGACTGCACCTTAGTGACTTTCGAGTAGACTGAAAGGTCACTATGCTGCCCATTCGGCACGTGTAGCTCTGTCCCTGGACTAGCCCTTTCTCTGCCTTTCAGCTGGTCCTTGCCCTGTCTGTCAGCCACCCATTGTCAGGCAGCAGATCTTCCAGGTAAGCTGTGCTGCCCATTCGCCTGTTGTTGCTCTGTCCCTGGACTAGCCCTTTCTCTGCCTCTCGACTGGACCTTGCTCTGTCTGCCACCCCATCCACTGCCAGCCAACAGGCATCCAGGTAAGCAGTGTTGTTGGCGGTTCAGTGGTAGCAGCTCTGCCCTTGTACCAGCACTGCCCTGTTTTGCTAGATTCTCATTGCCAGCCGCCAGGTATGCAGGTAAGCTGGGCTGCTGCTGGTCAGTTCACCCCAGTCGTTACTCCGCCCTTCTTCCAGCCTTGTCATTTTCTGGTACTTCCCTCTTGTTTTGAGGCTCCTAAAAGCAATGCAAAGGAGCCAAAACTCTTGAGCTGAAGCAATAGCCGAGCAGAGGTGTGTTTGAGGTAGGCAATTGATAAAACTGCTGTTACTAATTCTGTGTTGTGAGTCCCCCCCCCCCTCCCACCTCTCCTTCCCCTCTCACCCCACCCCCACTCTGCCTCCCCTCCTCGTGCGCCCCCCTTCCCATAAAATGTTTTGCATTTTCCAGCAACAAATGGCTCAGGCACAGGCACAGGCGCAGCAGCAGCAGCAGGACCAGCAGCAGCCACTATCACTAGCAACGCCAGCCCCATCCCAAGCTGCAGTAAGTGCAGCAGTCGCAGCGGCAGCGGCAGCAGCCATGTCAGGCATTAACCTGTCTGGCACTCAAAGCCATGCGCACGGGCAGGCACAGCGACAGACACAGGGGCAGGCACAGGGGCAGGCATTTCCAGGGGTGCAGGTGCAGCACATGCAAGGTTCACAGCAGCACCCACCACTGCAACCGCAGCAGCTATCCGCGTTGCCTCACGCCAGCACCTATGAGTGTAGCAACAGCCACCAGCAACACAGCCTGGAGGCAGGCCAAGTGAGTGGCTTGCAGACCGGCGACACAATAGTTCTGAGCGATACAGACGAAGAGATGGACGCCGTTCTTCGCTCCATCATCAAGCCAAAGAGCAGCAGCAGAGAGGGGGGTGGTGGCAGCGATGGTGCTGACTTAAGCAATAGCGTGGGTGGTAATAATATCATCGGCAGCAGCGGTGGTGGTGGTGGTAACAGCAGCTGCAGCAGGAGGAGGAGCCTGTCGGCATCCAAGGTGATCACCATCAGCAGTGCGGCTCTTCAGGAACAGCAGCAGCAGCTGCAGCAGCAGATGGAAATGGCATCCATGGCCCCGTTTCCCCACTCCGTCTCCACTTCCTCCCTGCCACATCACCCTCCAGTCAGCCCAGTCAGCCCAGTCAACGCAGTCAGTATGAACCAGCAGTTAAAGGCTGGCTCCTTGGAACAGCAGACACAGCAGACAGAGCAGAACCAGCAGCAGCAGCAGCAGCACCACCACCACCACCACCAGCACCAGCAGCAGCACCACCACCACCAGCGGCAGCAGCAGCAGCACCAGCAGCAGCAGCAGCAGCTCTACGGATTGAGCATTGTAGCGGATCCAGCAGCAGCAGCCTCAGTGGAGGGGCTCGGGCAGCCATTCTCCCCTCCCTCTGACGTCCCACCCTTCAGTGCTTTCGACGGTGCTCTTTCCAACCCAACACCATCGGCATCAGCAGTTGCAACACCAACCGCTGCCAGTGGCGTTGGTGGTGGTGGTTGTGCTGCTGCTGGTGGCAGTGGTAGGAGGGGTGGTGGTGTTGGCATTGGGGGCGGGATTGGCAGGTCTGGTTTGGGTGCTGGTGTGGATGCACGTGGGGGCAATGTTAGTGGCAATCTTTTGCAACAGCAACAATCGTACCACCACCATACCCATAACCAGCAGCAGCAGCAGCAGCAGCAGCAGCAGGCGAGTCAGCAGGGGGGTCAGCAGGAGGGGCAAGTGATGGGCATGTGGAAAGTATATGATAACCAGCTGCTCTCTGAGAATCAGCTCTTCTCCCAAAACCACCTGCCATCGCCCTCTGTCCCTTCTCCTGGGTTTGGCATGGCAGCAGGAGCAGCAGCAGGGGCAGCAGGAGCAGCAGCAGGGGCAGCAGCAGCAGGTAGCCCCTTACATAGATCCAGGGGGGTTGGGCGAAGGACGATTGGAGGAGTCGGAGGAGGTATTATTGGGGGAGGGATAGGAGGAGGGATCGGCAGTGGGATAGGAGATGAGGCTGCTGCTGCTGCTGTGGCAGCTGCTTCTCCTGCACCTGCAGTAGCACCAATGGCCGCGATGCAGTATGCTTGAGGGGGCCGTCTGTGTGTGCGTCTCGTTGTACTTTGCCTACCAGAATAGCCTCGAGTATTTAAGGTCGCTTGAGAAAGACTTGCCATGGAGGATGATTTGGGCCTGTAGTGCAGGTTACGAGGGAGGAAAAAAGTAGTTGCCTGTGGAGCGATGGCGCCACACATCAGCGTTTGCTTTGCTGCTTTACTCCAAGCTCAAGAGTCAAGGCAGGCTGGGTTAGATTCCAAACAATTTGGAAGAGCAGAGTTAATTGGTAGACTAGAGCAGGGTCTTGCGAATTGCTAGAAAGCCAGGGTTGCTTTTCTGTTTTGGATTTTTTAGGAAGCTAGTAATATTTGGTATGCAGTGCACTATGCAAGGCACATTAGGGATCTGCGAGATGGAACGCATTATTAATAGTCCCTCTCTGTATTGGTCCCTGTCTCTTGCAGCGGAATGTGGACCTGTGGTTTTTATTGCTTTTATTTCAACATTGTTAACTTAGAAAGAAATCATATGGAGTAATGAAAGAAACATGTGTACAGTTTAAACATCCCGCGAGCCTTTATTTGCCTTGAAAGGCGGACCGTCCGTTAGGCGCACGGACTGAACAGGGCCCAAATTCGCCCTCCCTCCTGACTCCCACTTCACTCCTTCAGAGAGCACAGCTAGCCAAGAGAGCATGACACTCTTCACATTCCCGCCATCGCCATCCACCTCACTTATCCACTCTGATGGCGAGCAGTCTAGGGACTCCTGAGGCCGGACCTTACAGTATTACTGTACGACGCTTTCCTGGGCAGGGCCGTAGCTGGCGTACTTGCAGTCCGCCGAGACGATAGACGACGAGATGTAATCCTCCACTTCGCCGTCCAGAAACCCCTTGCCCTCGGCCTTATCCACATCCACGGGGTGGCCCAGCAGCGCAGCTAAGTGCGAGTACCTAATCGCGCGCTGAAGCTGCTCCTTAGTGCTCCTAAAAGTCTGCCCCAGCACGCCGTGCACGGCTGACGTCATCTTGACGTCGGACAGCTCGACGTTGAAGTGAGCTTCCGCCTCGGTCGGAGTCTGCAGCAGCGGGTGCGCCACGCGCACGCGCACGTCGAGTTCCCCGAGCCCCAGCACGCGCACCTGAAACTGATCCACGTCGAACTTCCCCTCCTTTTCCTCCGCGATTTTGGTAACCACCAGCCCGCTTTCCGTTGCGATCGATTCGCCAACGCTCGGCGGGGCCGTCGCCTTGCCGTCGATTTCAATCAGGGAGAGAAACCCGGCATTTCCGCGCTCCTGCTGCTTGCCCTTGCGCGCCACCATGCGCAGCGTGTGGTTCGCGCCGTCGGGCGTCATCCACACGACTCCGAGCTCCTTAATCCACGTGTGCAGCTCCGTGCTCGCTTCCTTCGTCTTATTTGCCGCCGCCGACGCGGGAAGCGCGGGCGGCGCGCCCTGATACCCGTTGAGCAGCATGTTCACGTGGAACTGACGGTCGGAGAAGAGGCAGAAGGATTTGTCGAGGCGCCCGGTGAAATCGTAGTGCGTGCCGTGCGCGCCCGTGAGATGCGGGTCGTTTTCGACGAGCGCGGTACCGTTGCAAAGCCCGCCAACGAAGCTCAGCGGGTATTTCGCCGCGTTCGCCGTTTGCGTCGCCGCGTCCCCCGCGTTTGGAGTTTTGAACGAGCCCGACGTGCCGGATCCGCCATTCTTCTCGAGAAGATAGCACTGAACGCGGTCGATGAATCCCCCCACATTCGCGTTTTCTCCCGCGAGACGAGTGCTAGATGACGAAGGGAAGGGAGGAGAAGAGAAAGCAAACGGAGAAGCAAACAGATAAGCCAACGGATTCAGTCTGTTTCGGAAAGTGCTGTTTTCTCCCGCGAGACGAATGCTGGATAACGGAAGAAAGACGTAAGGAAAGAGAGAGCAGACGGATACCAGCTACAACAGTCAGCTAGGGCTAAATCAGCACCACAGGTGTCGAAGTATGAAGTGTCTAAACAAGTAGTCAGCTTGAATCAAAACCAGCAACGCAGGTTTCAGGAGGCAGGTTCAAGTGGCTTACTTCTTGAACCAGTGCCACTGGTAGCAGTAGGTGGAGCGAGCGCAGGCGCGGCAGCACTCCTGCAGGGTATCTCCGTAAACGCCCTTGACAATGTCGAAAATGGTCCCAACCTCAGTGTACCGCTCGAAATTCACAGGGCCTGACCCGCGCTGGAAGGGCGTGTACTGCCCGCCCTGGTTGTTGAACAGCCCCTGGAAGTTGCCGATGTACTTATAGCTGGTGTATGTTGACTGCGAGATTGTAGCTGTAGCGAGGTTGTCAATGTAGGGGCAAACGTAACGGGTGTGGCATCCACCCGCGGGCATGTTCGTTGCCACAGTGGTGTGCAGTAGGGCAACCAGCGTGAAGAGAATGGAAACACTGCCAGGAAATGCCATCCTCGCTGCTTGACGGGAAGAAAGCCCACTGAGGAAAAAATGCCCCTGAATGTGAAGAGGTGAGCAGGAATTGCAGAAAGAGCCTGTGTTCGATCGATGACTGCAGCTGCGCTTGTTGCGAGTCTCTTTATACGATGGAACTGAGGTCCGCTTATCGCTGATAAGCTATTGCGCTTTGAGAAGCTGGCCGCACGTACGGTTGGGTTTGCTTTGGGGGGGGGAGGAGAGGGGGGGGGGGGGGAGGGGGAGACGAGCAAGCAGGGGGAGTGAGCGAGGGGAGTGAACGAGGCGAGTGAGAGTGAGTCAGGCTTGGCGACTTGGCCGCCTTGGCTTCTGGCCCAAGGGAGAGCCAAAGCTGCACTGTGCGTGCGCTACAGTGTAGCGGCTGGTGGTGACCAGATGACGCCACAGGCGAACCGCAGGAAGACAACCACACACGACGTGCTTCGTCCCGCATTACAGCTTGAGCCTGAGAGAGGAACGCCACCTTTTCGAGCCGCGGGGGCTTCTGTCGATTTGGTATTTCGCCGGCTTTCGCTGCTAGAAGCGAGGGATTCAGGGTGAGCTCGTTGGTAACTTATTTTGTCGCAATAGGGGAAGGTTGGGTGGCAGAGTTCAGATTGCGTATGTAACCACGGTTACGCTGTTTAGCACTGCGACGATCAGAAACAACCCCAAGTGCTGTTTAATTAGCTCAACCAATAGGTCACGAACATGACATTTGCTCACAATTTGTGCGGCTTCGATAAGTGTGGAGTTGTTTCGACCGAATAGGGCTCTAGTTCAGTCAGTTGCCAAGGGGTCATGCCATGCTGAGTCATCGAGGTGTTTCCCGTTTGCGGTGTTCCGTAGATTTCCATTGCGCTCGTGTCCTTCGCGGCTTCGCGAAAAACGCGAAAGGTCATTTGGGCCTGGACGAACCACCCTCGCGACGCCGTCCGAAAATATGTGGCGAAAACCAGAAGGCTGCAACTGCTTCGTCGCTGTCCGCATGTTCATCCCCGCTGTCATGATGACTCAGCACAGTTGCCGGCGCGGGGGACTCTCTCGAAACGGATACTGCCCGTAAACTTCTTCTATTGGGAGAGGGGGTGCAATTGGGATTTTTTTTGGGCAGGGCACTTTGCGGACATCGTCTGTAATACGACTCCCCTCGAGCATCCAATCTCACCCCCAACTTCCAGCTCCAAACCCGTACACCTTGAGCCTGACAGAGGAACACAACTTTTCAGGGTGCCGGTAGACAAAAACGCGCACGGGTTTCGCACGGCATCGTCACGGGCATGTGGGCCTTTCGCACGGGCACGAAGGTTACCATTTTGATGTTTTGCGGGGTAGGTTTGAGTGGCATATTTTGGCGAGCCATTGTTCACTTAGTTACCCTGTGTTAAGTTTCGACGCTTTCAAGCTTGAGAGAGTTTCCCTGGTGTAGCACCAGAGTGGTGGTTGGCGGGTGAGATGTTGAGTGATTTTTTCTGGTTTGGTTTGCTCCCTTTTATACTCAGTGTGATGGGGTGAGGTGTTGGAGTCGCATTTCAGCTCCAAATATTACGGGCGTGTTCTAAATATTTCCTATATTACGAATTGAAGGTTCGTGCCGCAACAATAACTACTGCGTGGATTGTGGGAATTTGTTTTCAAGTCTGTTCCTGGGTTGGCTGTCGGATGTTGAGAACGACCCCTGGCATCGGGACATCGCGACTCCATTTCGCTGCCAAGTCAGCGTTCGGTTTCATGCGGCGACGCTCAAGCCACAAACAAACCCAGCGAGGCGTCTATAATTTTGCGAGCTCAACGAAAGGCTCGCTGACCTTCGCCGGAGCGCTATTCCGAGCGCGGCTGGAAGTTTGTGGCGAAAAAGGTTGCGGGGCACATCCTTCGTCTTGTGCCGCATGTTTGTCACCGCTGTCATGATGACGCTGCACTGCTGGCTCTGTTCACGGCCCACGTTGAGTGGGCCGTTGCCCGTGTGACAACGCTAATGGGCGATGGTTCCTGATTGGGCCACGTATTGAGCTAGGCCTCCGGCGGGCATCATGTGTATGTAGTCACCCAACAGTACCCCCCAAGTCTGCACTTCCCCCCAGCCGCCGCCCCAAAAACCTACCCCTTTCCCTTCCCCTCTCACTGAAGCCCCACCACCCCCTCCCAAAGCACCAACTTGGTTGGCTCACCTCTTCAATGCACCCAGTTTGATTCGAACCCCACCACAACGAACTTGAGGATCAGGTCGGCTCCGCGATTCGGGGGGCTATGCGTGAGAACAAGGGAAAGAAGGGGGAGATGGAGCCCTGCTACACCGCACTTAAGCAAACTGTAACCGACTTGAATCTCGAGATTTCAAGTCCCTTACTCGATGGAGTCGCGAAATCAGCCTGGAAGCGCCCGAACGAAAGGTGCCCACTGGTTCCCTCAAACCATTTGCTCGATTCCGAATCAGGCCATGGGGCAGTGAGGGCTGGCCAGCAGGGCCAGTGCTAGGATTTTTGCTAGCTCGAACGATTTGGGCCCATCTGAAAAAAAAAAACAAAAAAAAAAAAAAACCATGTAAAACCCGCGCCGAGCCAAAAATTGCACGGATGAATCAGGGTCCGAGCCGAAAAAGGCCTGAGCGCCACCAAATATTGCTGGGTGGGAAAAAATGTGCCCACGCCAGTACTTCGGTAGGACAATCGGGTTTGGCCTCGCTCCTGCAGCGCCAAGGCCGAGGGGAAGAGGTCCGGTTTTCCCTGGAATTCCCCGGGATATCTACGTGTCCCACGAAATTTCTCCCTGTGTAATTCCGGACTGGCTGGGGAAAAGCCTATGTGAAATACGGGCTACAATTAAAAACACCTTGGAACCAGGTGGCACTTTGCGAAGGGCGGAAGCTAAGGTCCCCCGTTTGAAACACGACAATTTACTGGCATTTCAATATTCAAGATCAGATATGCTTACGCAAGTGTTCTTATATAAAGCATAAGAAGTCCTAAGCACAATGTTACCATGACATCGAAATTGTTGAGTGAAGTCGCAAGGTAGCACGGACTTGAATATCGAACTTGTGAATAACTGATGGACGATACAGAGAATGACGAGGCAAGGTATAGGAACTCCTGAGTTATTCTAGCCATAAGAAGCAAAGGTCGGGAAAAAAAGATCGAAGGGCCTCGAGATCAGGGCTTACGTTAGGTTTTGAACAGTTCTGGAGCTCAGGGCTCCCTTCAAATTTCACCCTGAAAACCCAGGGTACGAATCTGCAGTGCCCTGTTTTTTCAGGGCCAGCCGAAGAAATGCTCGGAGGGTGCATATTTCCAAGGATTCTTCTTGGGGTTGTTCCACGCTCCGCGGCTCATCGGAGTCTCATGTGTTCTAGGGGTATCTGGGAAGTACTCCTTCCCAACTAGAAGTGGGATAGCCGGGTCCTAGGAACAGGGGGGGGTGTTAGGACAGTGGGAGAAACATGTGCTCTACGGGGGAGGGTGTTAACTAGAATGAATTATTAAATACAAGTGGAACAAGGGCGAAATATGTATACTGGTTGTACCCTCTAACAACATACAACTATCTAGCCTATAACTTCTACATAGCAACATATGTATAAGTTGACACACACCCTGGGCTAGATAAGGGGTAGTGCAACGCAAGAAACACACAGCTCCAGGTGGCACTACTAGTCCAACCTCTGAGGCGGGGGTCCAAAGACCAGTTAGCAAGGGTACAAACAAGACAAGAGCAAACCAGGGCAGCACTACTAGTCCGACCACTGGGAGAGTAGCCACAAGGCCAGTCTGAAAGCCATAAATATAGAGGAGTACACAATGAAGGACCTAGCAAATGAGAGTCTACAAGAACTAGACCTAGCTGCAAGCAGTGCCGCTGATGATCTTTAGGCGCAAGCGCCTTAGTAAAGATATCAGTTGTGTTGGCACCGGAGGCCAAGTGTACTACGCGGGCCTGGCGACGCGTAGGAGGAAGTACAGCAGCTGGATGTGCCTCACTCTGCCCTCAAGTCGAGGCTCCTGACACAGGAGGATCATGGCCCTATTGTCAGCGTAAAGGACCGGGGCAAAGCTAGGCCGCTGACCTAAGTCGGCCAGCAAGAAGGTCAGCCAGTCGAGCTCCTGTGCCGCCATGGCACCAGCGTAGATCTCATCCTCACAGCTAGACTGGGCAACAGACGAGGAGCAAGTGGACCTCCACGAGATGGCACCAGAACTAAGGCTAAAGCAGTAGCCCTGGGAGGACCCGAGGGTCTCAGCGTAGTCTGCCCAAGAAGCGTCAGTGTGCATACTAAGGACCACTGGCCTGTGTCCTCCCAGCACTAGCCCCATGCCCAATGTACTTGCAAGATAACGAAAAACCCTCTTAGCAGCCGATCGGTGCTGTGGTTGGTGTCTGCCTGTGGCCACAAAGCGAGCCAGGATGCTGAGAGGGTATGCGAGATCTGGACGAATGCAAGTCATCAGGTACATGAGGCAACCCACCAGCTCTGCGTAAGGACCACTGGGCTCTACTGACTCCTCGCG